TTTTTCATATTTGATCGTAGGCATGAATCCCTCATAAGGGCTATAATTCTTTTTTCTTCATTTTTTGAGATTAACATCACATCACACTAAGGTATGTTTGTTTTCTTTGAGGTGTAACATCTGAAATTGCAATGATTACATTAAGAGATACATTGGTATTGGTGAATTTTTCTTTCTGTAGATTCTGAATTTTGAAATTGATCAAATATCCATTTTGACACCTCTTTAGAGATAAGAGTTAAGAGGAAATGAACATGCCCTAATAATAATTCTACACCTCTACTGAAACAAATCAGCAACAGTCAAATGCATCATCATCAAATATAAGATTACATCATATTTGTAATACATTTTATGATTTTAACTCTATACATTTCAAGACGGTCACAGAAGTCTACCACATTTCGGAGTCAGCAAGCGGTTTGAGTTAGTTGTCATAGTTTATGAAAGTCAGGACAGGTATGAGGCAAACGGCATTTAAAAGACTGACTAAATTTGATTTTGAGATGTTCTAATTCTGTATTTTATAAGTGATATAGGTTCATTTTGTTTATGGTTCGAATTTCATTTGCACTAGTGTAAATGTAGGGGAGTGCACATGGGGTGCACAAAATTTTGGTTTACTTTTGCTCTTAGATTTGACTTTGCTTTGTTTGTTTGTGATAAATGAAATAGGAAGCAAAATGATGGTGGTCCACACTTTATGTAAAAGAGAATGGAGGCAGGACAGGAGGGTGGTTATTTGTTTGAGAGGTGTAAGGTATGAAATAAAAATGATGTGGTCCCATCTTTTATGAGAGTAAATTGAGATAAAAGGAAGGTGGTGTTGTTACCAAAAAAAGAACATGGTGCAAATTTTGCATTGTAAACAAAGGCAAATTAGACAAAAAAGTGCAAATTTGCAGTAGGTAAAGTATGAAACATAGTAAATGCAAAGTTTAACAGGGTAAAAAATTTCTATCTGGTTCAAATTTGCACTGTAAATACATTCTAAAATTTTGCATGCATAATCTATTTGAAGAGTTCACATCTCCACCCCACATCATTGGAGATGTGATGTCATTATTGGGAGATATTTCCAAGGCGTGCTGTGGGGCATTGTGGGGCGGCTCCTTGTGGGGTGGAGATGTGATCTCCTGTTTGAAAACTTTGTGGCATAAAAATAAGTATATCCCATCTACTCACTAATAAAAAGAAACTTTCTCGTTGTTGAGGGAAGCTGATTTGTTAGAGGTAGGCTTTTAAGGCTTTATTTATTTGAACTTTAATGCACAAGATATAATAAAATTTATTTTAGAATTGAAATCCTGAATTGATTTACTGAATTATCTGGTTAGATTTTTTTTCTATTTCATTATCAAATTAATTCTCAACTCTTTTTCAAGTTGTCACCAAGGTTTTTAAAACCAAACCGATCAGGGGTCTGGTTCCTAGGTCGAACAGTCTGATCATTCGAACCGAATGGTTGGTCCGTTCTGACCATATCAACAGTTTTTTTGTGAAATAACAGTTCTGGGGTAAATCGGAATCGATCAAGATCCCGGTTTTTCCAGTCCTTCCATCCAGTCCGGTTTGGTTTTGAAAACCATGATTTTCACTATAAAAATAAAAAGGAAGTACGTATTTTTATTTGATTTTAATTAGGAATCCTCATTCTCAATGCATGTAAGAAGAGAAAAAGGAAAGAGAAAATTCATTACCAGCTAATAGAATTCTTTTATATTAATTGTTTTAAATTTAAGGACGTTTTAAACTTAGATATCTGAACTAGGTTAAAAGTAGTTATTATGTGACCTAACGGTTGAGTTAGCTTGGAATGTATACTTCTAGTGGCCGATAAGGTAGGGAAATATATACAAGGTTTGTGAAGGTTTTCCTACTTTTTCCTTCCTTTCCCTACTTCTTTCAAACCAAACACATCGTAAAAAAAAAAAACCAAATTAAAGAAAATATGAAGTTCAACCACCGAAATGTAAGGGGCTGTTTGATAATAGCTGAAGTGAATTTGCTGAACCGAAAGATTTATTGTTTTGTTTTTACACACACATATATATATATAAGGAGCCAACTATATTGTTAAAATCTTATTCACTAAAAAACAAAGAAATAAGCTTTTCGGTTCAGCCACTTCAAGTATTATCAAATGACGGCCCCCCATCCTAGAACAACAAGCTTTGGATTCCAGGCATTTTGCAAATAACCATTTAGATTAGCCATGTTTGCCTTTCTTGTCCATATCAGCTCTATAAACCCACCATGTATTTCTATTTTCTTTTCTTATTAACAACTATGACAGTGTTCATTTTCATGGTCATCTCGTGGATGAGACCATTTCATTCTGGTTCACGAAAGCTTGTGCCATTCGGTTTAATGTGAACGGTTTCTGTCTACAATATCCCATGGATCAAGACCATCCATAACCCAATTTCTCCTCCTAACTTTTTATCTCTTAGATGGAGATCATCCATAGTTGCCCAACCCAGTTGGAGTGATCCGGTGCATTGCATGAAGTCTTAAACTCTTTCTTTTACTGCTATAAGCCCTAACACCTCTCTGCCGGGGCTGTCTCCTCTGCCAATATCCTTCTTCGTTCTATGTCACCAGATCACTATTGACAAATCCACTACTCAACCATAGATCTATAAAAGTATGTGGGTTTCTCTATCTCTTTCTCAGATTCATTCTCTCTCTCTCTATCTCTCTTGCATCGCTTGCATGTTGTAGCTGCAATATGCTTTGTACCACTCTTTTTATTTAAATATTAGTTGAAATTTCGGATTATTTTTTTGTGTTTATATCAACACAAACTAGTATGTATGGCCAATGGAACCAATATTTTGATGTTAGACTTGTATGAACCAACCTTACTTTGAATTGATAAATAGTAATAATTTTTCTGTTAGGCTTCATCATAGTTAAGTATTTTTCTTTTTTATTTTATTTTATTTGTAAATTATTTTCCTTTTAAAAATAAATATAACTCATTCTCTTTCATAAATTATTTTTTAATAATTTTTAATATTTCAAGATAATATTAGGATGTTTGTTTTTAAACATTGAACCATTTTCATTATTTATATTACTAATTTTTATTAATAAAGTGATTTTTATTAGTAGATATATTCATATTGTATACATATTTTGTCCTTATTTGACATATATGATAAATATATTTGTTATATCTAATAGTAATTACATATTAGTGTTTTATTTTATCTATTGTTACTTTGTATTATTTTTTCAATTTAATTTATATTTAAAATATAATAACTTTTATTCATGATCTCACAAGTTATATGTGAAATGTATAAAATCAATACACTTGGTGTTGATTGATCTACAACACACCTGGAAAATGCCCCTTTAGGTGTGGTGTGGATTACACCCACCAATATCTCATCCATATTATAAAATACCCCAAAAATTTCATTTATCTTGATCTTTGTGCCATATATGTGTTTTTTTTATGTTTTGGGTTAGGCAATACAGTTTTTTATTTTGCAAGTCCCTTGGAAAAGTGTTAATAGCCCCATTCGGGAATGAAAATTGCTGGATTAAGGTTTTTAATTGTGTGAAATGTGACAAAATTAACAAGATCTTTTTTTTTATTTTGGATATTATGCCAAAATCAGAAATTTCTGTGTGGCATTATTTTTATGCACATTTTGATTTTGTATCAATGAGAATGCATTCGCTAATGTTGGTTGTACATCAAATTAAATCTTAACCAATCACACTAAAGATGCCTTACTTTTCATTTGTTCATGTTTTACAGAGTATACTTTCATGTATAACAAGGTATAATTAAATGTTTACATGATGAAGTGATGAACAAAACAAATACCATGGTCCTCCATGGTGCAGCAAACGTACAAATACCATGGTCCTCCATGGTGCAGCAAATGTACAAATACCATGGTCCTCCATAGAGATCTACCCTGATCAGTACTAAACCCATCTTCCCACAATGGGCTGTAGTACCTCACCCAACAGCCAACAGGGAGGAGGCTAGGGTTTAGGAAATTCTGTGAATTTAACTTGATAAAAATGTGAAAAACAAGAAAATTAACTGCCCAATTTTTGTGGAGGGTGTAGGAAATTGTACAAATTCAAGTTCATAAAAATGTAAAAGCAAGAAAACTGCATGCCCAATTTTTTGTGGGAGTGAATTAAAGCCCCAGAGGATCTTTTCAGCTTGGATTAAGCCTCCAATGTACAGCAGTAACTGTACCAGTCCTCACCCATTTTTGTAGAAACCCACCTATTCTCACAATGCATTGATGCTTAAACCTTTCCTCAACATCCCTTGATTTCGTACCAAGTTCTATAGTTAGCACAGTTCTACCCTTTTAGTAATGCTAAGCCGGTCCCCAGTAGGCCAGTACCATCATTGTTGGCCGGTCCCCAGAATCTAAACCATCCACATGCCCCAGAGGCCAGACCATTGATGTTTCTTCAGAGTTTTATTCACAAAAAAAAAAAAAAAATCTAATAGTAGTTTTTGAGATAAGTTAATTTCAATTCAACTGTTCAGAAACTTAGAAATCCGGATGAATTGTAACGCTCAACATACAATTTGCATCAAATAAGTTTCAGTAGATACCAAAAACTAGAAGGGTGATGATTCAAATTCAAGCACACCACCCTTTTTCTAGTTGAATGGAATGCATTCTTAATCAATAATCAATCAAAAGACAATCCATTAAAGAAGACAAGAATATGCCTAAACCCAGAAGTTGTTTCCAGACCAATTCCCAGCAAATTAAATTATTGATCAAGAATAAAATCATCCAAATCTGATCCTAATTCTTTTTTCTTTTTCCCTTTATTTCTTCCCAAAACTCAAAGTTCTTAATTATTTTCCAAATTGATAAGGAAAGAAAAATCTTACATCAATTCACTTTTATATGATGAGTAAAGGACAATCATCCCAGCACTAGAAACAATTTCCAGAAGAGAGAGAGAGATGATTCATTGGGTGTTTGTGTAGAAGAAGACAGAAGAAAAATTAATTCTATTAATTTGTTTTCCTTTCTGTTATATAAATTTTTGAACGGAATAAATGTTCAGGGCCGATCAGCCACGAATTTCTACTCCTACCTTAAATGACAAAGATTTACACTAAAGGAAAAAGAGACAAAAACCAAGCGAATGTAAAGAAAGGATCGATCTCCTTGCAGACCCCCCACGCTCTACTTTCCACATGTATCTTGTCTCCCACTCCTTTCTTTCCCTTTTCCTCTTCGTCTGTCCAACATTCTCTCTCATTTTTCTGCAGAAACAGCAAAACAGTAATCAGAAATTTATGCCGAAAAGGAAAAAAAAGCAGAAGACTACACAAACGCAAAGACAATGAATCTGAGAATCATCATCAGCCAGCAGAGACGACGACTTTGGAGTTTGGACGTACCGATGGACTTTTTGCAATGGAGAACTGCTTCGTGGATGGAGCTCTCAATGGCGCACCAATCACCGGTGGGATATGCACTACTCGCTCTGGGCGACGTCTGTAATGGCGACTCGTCCCAGCTTTTAACGAAAGGACGTACCCTTGCATCGGTAATCTCCCCTCTGGCACCTAATCTCAAGACTCGAAGCTTTTTGTACAGGGGTCTGAGGAAACCCATGTACTTCTGAAAGATTCTCTTGGACGACCGCTGCCACCTTCCGAGGAAAGGACAAGCACTCCGGCTGGTCGAGAGTACGAGCTTTGAGGACTCCGACGAGGACCTGAGCGGTGTTGGAACAGAATCCGAGGCCTTCGCTGGGTTGTCGTGAAAGAAAGGCATGAGGAGGCCGTTCGAGAAGAGCTCGTCGGCGTCAACCAGATCACTCAGGGGAGATTTCGAGACGGGGAAGTCGAAACTGAAATCCTGGGCGTCGCCCAGGAATCTCTTGGAGGGTGTCAGCCATGGGTCCATCTCTATGAAGGAGGAGGTTTCGTCGGAGGCATCAAGGGAAGCCCTGAAGGAATCGCCCAGGCTTTCGAACGAGGGTCTGAGGTTTATTAGCCAGCTGTAGGAGAAACTCTCGGTGGAGAGAGGTTTGGAGCTTTCCATGGCAGCAGCAGCTGATACGCTCCTTCTTCTGTGTAAGAAAGATGGCTGGTTTTGAATACGAAGGATGGAAGGAAGGAGCGCTCTCTCTAGTTGTTTTAAAGAGCAGACAGACACCAACTGGGATGGGCTCATGGGCATAACAAGGTTGCCCATTCCCCTACACATGTGGGCCCAAAAGAAAAGGGCTATGTTTTATTCTGGCCTTATTACGTCTCTTTCTTCCCATTTTGTTCTTTCTTTGATTTTCTTTTTCATTTTGTTTAATTGATTATAATTATTAATTATAGTTTCTTAGCAGTGCTCAACTGTTTGCTATGGGATGATCCCATCAGCTGCCACGTTTCATGTGATGAGTGCACCATGATCGGAGCCCCCACCTAAAACTAATTAAAGAGTATGATGAGATCACCACCATCTACCCCATGGCCCATGCTGATTTTAGAATCTCCTTATAAGGGACCCACTCGGGCTCAGTGATGGTTTCTAATTTTCATTATACATAGGATTAAGGTTTAAAATATCGATAACCGGTGTATCGACCTGTATCGATATTTTTTTTCTGTATTTATTTTTATTTTTTTTTAATCGGGTTCAGAGAGATCGTTTTAAGGCCCGTCTGTCTATTCTCTGAATTGGGTTCTGACCCGAAACACCTTTTATGAAGATATATTAGAAAGGCGCCCATATGATACATATCAACCAACACGGCTCGATACATATTGAAATTTTAAACCTTGTATAAGATATATAATAGAATATATAAGGGCACCATCATAGCAAAGTAGGTTGGGCGGTCTGGCTGAGGTAGCAGATCAAAATGTGGGACCCACTCTCTCTCTCTCACCGAATTCCATATTATTTTTCATCACTCATTGGCTGAAAAATCGCAATTATAAATTTGCCAAGTCAGCCCTCCAGTCTCCACAACAAAGCAAAACACAAGTAGCTTTGGCCGCTTTTTTTTTGTTTGGGAGCAGGTGAATAGTGCTTTTTGTAGCGGATTAATTGATTTTTATTAAAGATGGGTGAGAGTGGAAAGTAACCCAAAAGCCAAAGCTGTTTGAGACAAGCAAACAGGTAGAACTACCGTCCAAAGTCCAAACACTTTTGAAATTAAGAGCAAATGGAGCCAATCCATGAACGCTTTTGGACTAGACTAGCCGCGTATATACAGTTCTCAAACTCCACCATACACTGTAATTGGAAGTGTCCCCTACGGAATGAAAAGCTTTTAACTTTAATGAATGTTTTAATGGAGCAAAAGTTGAAAAGAATGAAGCATTGATTCGGAAAGGTAGAGAAGCACTGGCCTGAAACTTGCCACCTGGAAATATGTTAAAGTGGAAGAAACACAAGGACCCAGTTTGCTGTGTTGCCACCCACGACATCATGGGCCAAGAATTCTGTAAAGACAGTTCTCAAATCCAGACCTGCTTTTTTGCCTTTTGTCCAAACAACAAGAACAAACATCTATCTCTAGTTAACCATTATTTAATAAACAATATTTAGAAGATATGGTGAAGTGAAACATGAACAAAGTTAACACTAGAAAATCAAAATAAAAATCCATGTGTGATTGTGTGAAGTACACAATTAAACTTCCTTATTCCCACTTGCTTCTCTAATTTACCAAAATTATAAACGAGATCAATCTTAACCCCACTTGAGAGTGCTTATTTTTAAGCACTTATTCAAATAAACATTTATTTTAAGCTAAGACTAGACCTGTTCATGGGCCGGGCTCAGGCTTAGCTTTTGTCAAAATTCTAATGGGCCTGACCCAAAGCTCGGCCTGTGAACAGGTCTAGCTGAAACCACACTTATAAGCACCTACATGAAGTTCGGGAAAAAAAATGCCGTATAAGTGCTTGTTGCAGAAAATAAGTCCGAATGAGTATTTTTAAACGGTTTTTCATTATTTTCTGACTCATCTAAGCAAACCCATTTTCACCAAATACTCATAAGCACTTATTTATCTAATAAGCATTCCCAAACAGGGGCTTAAATTCTTAATACATTAATTATTTTTGCCATGAATAAGGGGAGTGGAAACAGTGATTTCACCTGTGACACTTACGTACTAACTGCTGCAGCACAAGGCTCCACCCAAATAAATAAATAATATACGAAATTGAGTATCGAAAACTTTAATAAATTAATAACTAATCTACCTTGTTATATACTTATATTATACAATGGTGTTCTAGAAGTTCTTGTATAAATTAAGCTTATTTGGTAGAAGAACTTTGGAGTATTGTATAAGTGGATTCCTTGATGCCCACAAGATATTCAATATCTTATTGCAAGGTTAGTTTGGGGACATTTGGGTTCCCTTAACCTGTTCCTCAAATGTCACAACGTATCAACCAACATGAACTTATATGACAAATCCTTCCTCCGAAAGGAAAAGCAAAACTAATTAAAAAGGAATTTGGAATAATTATGGAGGATTTATATATTAATGCTAATCAACTTTTTTATGGGTTATCAAATATCAATACTAGCTCAATATTATCTTTGTTTGAGGAATCTACCCTTCTAGTGGAAATGTGGGTCTGGAGTCTTTCTTTTTTGTTGTGGTCAAACTACGTCCTACGTGGAAATGGGTGAATAGTGAGGTTTATCCACTTGCCACGTAAGAGAGAGAGAGAGAAATGCCTTGGTAAACACAGAGCTGCGACATTTTGGATACGTTTGTCTTTTAAGGAGTGTTCCAGTCAAAAGGGGAGTAGTGTATAGTCTACACTAAGCCCTGATTTAAGGGCCAAAATAAATATTCTGGCCTCTTATATTCAAAGTTCTTCGATTCCAACCCCCCAAAAACCAGCATAATGTTAATACGATTAGGCCATGGTTTGACTCCCTATCATCATCATAGCATTATAATATTGCCACAGTTTTGCATTTGGGCCTAAAATATTTTCCATCACATATCATCCTTGTGAAGTTTTGATACGGGATTTATGCCCTTCATTTTTTTTCTTTCTTTTAATCCTTTTTTTTATTATATACTACATATCACAGGGGATTCGAAGGTGGGGCAGAGTTGGGTGCACCTATGGCCCACTGGCTATGCCAAAGAGAGCTTGAGTTCCAGGAGTTTGATCCCTAGTCTTCTTTTAAGTGGATGAGTGCTAAGTGACCATCTCAAAATTAATGCCAAAATAAACAAAGAAAATAAAACTAGAAATCAGGGTTTTTAAAACCGAATCAGACAATGAATCTTTCAGGGGTCTGGTTCCTGGGTCAAACGGTCTGACTGTTTGAATCGAATGGATGGTCCATTTTGACAAAAAAAAATAAAAAGTAGCCAAAAATTGTTGGACAGTTTGATTGCTTAAGTCAGTAGTTTGCTGACCAAATCAGCGGTTTTTGACTAAAAGATGATTCTGGGGTAAAACGAAACCAATCAAATGACCGGTTTCCAGTTTTTCCGGTCCAACCGTCTGGTCTGATCTGATTTTGAAAACCATGCTAGAAACTCTCCAAATATAGAAAGAGCAAGGTTTAAAATCATTGCTGACCTGGATGGTTGAGAAAACGGCTACGGTATTGGTTCTATTACAGCCCTGAACCTCCCAAAAACCAATAAATTGGTCAGTGACCCGTTGGTCTAGGCAGTTGAATAATCAATTTTTATTTTAATTTTTATTTCTTTTTTAATTTCACCGGATGATCTATTCAAACCAGGCGACCAAACTACTGACCCAGAAGCCGGTGCCCAAAATAGTTCCAGTGTTGGATCACTTTTTAAAACATTGGTAGAGAGGACCAATACTGAACGTTGAATGGAAGACTAAATCTGGCAATTATTATTTGTGAAATTCCAATTCTCTAATTGGAATATCAAATATGAAGTAACAGTATTATATTCCACGCTAAGCAAACTTTCTCTTGTTATACTTGACCTTTTGTACCAAATTTCTTTAGTAGAGTTGGGATCACTTGCCAAACAAATATGCTCCAACACCCTCCCAACACAATTTGACACCACACATCTCACCATGAGATTAGGCCCACCATAAAAATGGGACTCATCATGTATGAGGTCATCATCATCATCATCATCACCATCATCATCATCCATGCCTTATCCCAACTATATGGGGTGGCTACATGAATCCTATTTTGTCATTCCATTCTATTCAATGCCATATCCACTATTAAATTGTTAGCTCTTAAATCTTTCCTTGTTCTTCTACTCATATTCCTTTTGGTCTACTCTGAGCTCTTCTAGCCCCTTTAATGTGTAACAAATCACTTCTTATTGGCACAGTTGGTGGTCTTCTATGCACGTGCCCAACCCATCTTAAACCTCTCTCTCTCTCTCTCTCTCTCTCTCTCTTAGACACACACACATTTGGTGGTCTCCTATCCTTTATAATTTTCCCACTCATCCATTTTAGCATTCGCATTTCTTCTACATTCATTTTCTAGACACATTGTTTCTTGACTACCCAACACTCGATTGTATATAACATAGCTAGTCTTACAATTATTTTATAGAATTTTCCTTTTAATCTAAGTGGTATTTGTCTATCGCATAAAAGTACAAAAGCACCACTCCGTTTTGCCTATCTTGCTTTAATCCTTTGGGTGACATCTTCCTCAATCTCTCCATTGTTATGAATTATTAAACCAAGGTACAAAAAATGGGCACATGAGTTATCTCTAGGTCATATACTCTGTTTAATTAAGTCTTACTTATTTTAAAACCTCTTCTTTCTAAGGCATTTGTCCATAGTTTTAATTTTGAATTTAACCTTTCATTAGTTTCATCAATTAAAACAATATCATCCGCAAACAACATGCACCATTGAACTTCCTCTTGAATATGTTTAGTCAATTCATCTATGATCAATGCAAATAGAAAATGGCTAAATGCTAAATCTTGGTAAAGACCCATAGTAAATGTAAAATTTAAAGTCTCTCCCACTAGTGTTTTAACATTGGTTGTATTAGTTGTTGCCTTTTCATACATATCCTTTATTAGGTCTATAGGCCTATTTTAAACCCCTTTCTTTTTTAAGACCCACCATATTATCTCTCTAGAAACTCTTGTTAGTTGTATGCCTTAAAAACAATTGTGTAACACTATAGAGGGAAAATTTTTGTACTATTCACATTTATTAATTAATGGATATTTTTTATCATTCATATTTGCAACT